ATGTGAGTGTATATATAGTATATATATATGAAGTGTAAATAATTTACATGTATAAGATTTATATGTTTATAATGTATATATATATGTATAACACATATACAGTATATATACATATACACGTATATGTGCATATACATATATGTACGTATATATTTATGAATGATAAATCATACTGGAAACAATAGTAAACATATTTCTTCTAGTTAGTATAACATATAACGAGCGAGCGAGATTAACGCAATATTCCCTGTTACGATGCATGATTCTGATTCTTGTTCAACACATCGTAAGCGTAAAGACGTCTTGCGCATAGATAAGTACATTTCAACATTGTGATAAACAGAGCTGCTGAATACTTGGCAGCTTTCAGTTAACTAATATCCATTACGTTCAAAGATGGATTTTAATAATTTTCGTAGTAATTTCAAGGGATTTTTGGTGTTTACCTATAGGAGTTCCGCGTGGCCCCAATTCTCTAAGATTGCAATACTATGGTTACAGAACTCTTAAGTGGTCCCATTACCCTGTTGGTTCAAGTGGTCCCGATATTTCAGCGGTCCATGTGGTCCCATTACCAATAGGGTTATGTCATCTTCAATAATTCTCTTTATAGAGTCATATAACTCATTTTTTTTTGTATTTTTGTAAAAATTCCACCATTTAATAAATAACACCCCTTTCAATTTCCCAATTCTATTTTTGAAATCTAGAATTCTACTTTAATAGCATTTTGGAGGGTGGCTTGATGCATATTCTTGTATTTTCCTACGTGGTATTGTTGGCCTTTGTTATTGTTAATATTTTAGGGCTTGCTTTGGTCCTCTTACTCATTGTTTATGTAATATACATAGCACTACCATATTTATATCTTTACTGACATCTGTGTTTAATTATTGTGATACCCAGTGTCTTAATGCCATACGCCTGTTGAATAACTAACTTCATTTTTCTTCCAGAAATAAATTTACTAGTTTAAAAGCGTCACTCTTTCAGCGTCTTCGTGTGCGATTTGGACTCTACGGACTACATATTAATGGCGATTCAGTTATCCACTTGAGAAATTTGATGTTGTCATTTCCTACTACAGCTATCATTCAAAATTTAAAACATTATTGAAAGGCGTCGATAATTTGGTGTTGAAATTATCAAGATTACAGAATACATTGATTAGGGTGCCTTTTAGTAATATGAACTGTATGCTTGAATAACACTTATTTCTCTCCCTGTCGACCTTTTTTGTTTTCATTTTTCTTATATTTTTGCTGGCAGTTTCGAAAAAAAACATATTAAAGCGAACTGCAAGACACAGCATGAATAATAGATTAAGAACATCCGCAACGATCTACAACCATGTCTTGGATGGTATCAAATTTGATTTTATGATCATGATCGTAATACAGCATTTTCATCGGAGAGAGCTTGCGCGCACCACAGCACGGACCGTGTTTGGCATTGGTGCTATTCATCTTCTGAATCAACGCACTGTGGGCATACTTGTGGGCGTATAGATACGGGCACTCGCCATTGCAAAAGTTAGCTTCATATACCTTAGGGGCAACAATGAAGTCCCAACCTAATTCAACAAAATTGACAAGGAGTGGATACCGACAGCAGCGGGATTCGATCTGGCTGGTAGTACATTGGTTTCGGCTGGAGTTCCTTCTGTTGCGGTTCCTTCTGCTCTCTTCCGTGTGGATCTCCAGCAACGGCGCCTGCGAAAAATGTTGTACGTGATAGATAAAATAATAAAAGCAAATTATATATGTGTGTGCGCGCGCGCATATTCACAGTTTCATATTTATAAGTATGTGCATAGAAGTTTATATGTATATAATATATGATATACATATAATATATATATATGTATATATACACGTGTGTGTATATATATATATATATTTATATATACACACGTATATATATATATATATATATATATACATATATACATACATACATTCAGACAGACAGAGGCAGATAGAGAGAAAGCACTTCATAGCCTTATTTATCTATAATTCCAAGACTCAGTGAATTAATCTATAAATTGAATTATATCCCTATTTAGTACCTCGCAGACTGTGACAGTTATCTTTGTTACGTAGAATTATTATCATTGATATATACTATTATTTTCATTGCTTCTGTTTTATGGCTCTTTAATAAAATTATTTATGTACCCTTATTTATTGTTTAATAGAATTTAAAGTCTGCTCATATCAAATTTTCTCAATTAATTTGTTTGAAGATGCTTTCAGACTTGTAATTCGCGTTCCATTTATAGTCATCCTTTACGACCATTTTGATTGTCTGTGCTAAATTACTTTCATATTTAGACAATACTTTTATTGTACTCAAACAATGAAATGGGCAGGAATGAAATTAATCAGAGCAATTTAACGACATTCGAAGGGAGGGATTTCAAGGGATAAGTACGGTATAAGATAAAGACAGCCCTCTAGGGTGGAAATTCATCGTGGTACCTGTCCAGGGGGTAATTTAA